ACTTATTCGGTGATTGTTTCTTTGCTGCCACCTCTGGAAGTATTTCTTCTCAAGCCTAATTTGTTGCAGGCTTTTGAGTTTTTTTAGGATTCACAGGATTTCTGTAGTTGGGAAAAAAACTTTTGCTACTTTACCATTTGCAGCTCTATTTACTTTTTGTGGAGGGAAAGGAATACAAGAATATTTGAAAAAGTTTGGAAAAGCCCCACTCATCTTTGTGGCATTATCCGACAGGCCATTTTGCTAAAGTGAAAAACTGGAAATATTATGATGATCTCAACAGGCGTTTTGGTTTCAATGGTTAATTCAGGATGGATCGATTGGTGGTTTTGGTGGGCAATGATGCCAGTATTGCCTTCAGGCTCCCTTGGAGGGCAGGGGGGGGCGTTTGCCAGATCTTCATTAAGTCGTTTCTACTGCAACCAGGGGCCTATGTCCGATCGTGGGCAATACCCTGAGCCCAATTTTGATCTCTTCCACCTAGTTTTTTTTATCTTCTTGCCTCTTTTTGGTTGACTATTTTGCTGGAATTGTATTTTCCTTTCCTTTTCAAAGGTTTTACTTTTCACATGTAACTAGTTTTATATGAATGAATTTGGGCTAAGCCCTCTAATTTCCCCAAAAAAAAATATCGTTAAGGTTAGGTAAACATTAAATAATTTAGAAGATTAATTATATCTGCCCTTCAAAATGCTAATACATATTAAAATATGTAAGATTGCATACAACATTAATATTAATCTAATGTATGTTAACAATAAGAAAAAATGTAAATCCAAAGTACCAAAAAAAAAAAAAAGTAAAGCTCCTACTCATTATCATCATGCATGTTGTCAACAAAAAAATTATGGCTTGTTTGAGATGATTTTCTTAATATTTTTTCGAGCATTTTTTTAGTACAAAAATTTTAATTTTTATTAAAAGATTCATTTAAAAATAAAAAAAACCGTCTTAAATAAAATCTAAATGATTATAAAGTGATATAACTATAAATTATTTTAAGAGAAAATTAAGCTTATCGTAAAATACTCTAAAAATATTACACATATAGCAATGAGGATATAACCCTAAGCAATAAAAGGGGGTGTAAAGGCATCCTTAAGGTCAATAACCAGATAAATTATTCTGTGCGGTCATCGAACGGTTCGGAGGTGAATAAGGATATGCCACGTCACCCAGTACACAACTAAAAAGTGACGTGACGTGTCCTGATTCGCCTCCGGACAGAATTCGGTGATGGCACAAAATAATTTTACCATTAACTAAGGCATCATTTGAGATAGCTTTTTTGTTATTTTCTAAAGGAACAAAAAGTATTTTGAATTAGAAATTTTTGTATTAAAAAACTGCTTTAGAAAACAGTAAAAAAATCGTCTCAAACAAAGCCTAAGTTATGCATCTATGTTCTTAATCTGTCATTTTTCATGGCCAGAAGATGATTCTTCATCCTATGAGCCTGATGGTCTTGCATCACTTTAGCTCAATGAGTTGGAATACTTAGCCTCATCATGATTATCAGTCTTCCATCATCTCCTCAAACAATTTTATTATTTAGATAAAAATAAGAATTAATTATATTTTTTTTGGGACATTTAGGCCAATTAAGGCAAACACACACACACAACGCATACACAGACTCGAACCTTGGACCTCTTAGTTGGAACTTGGAAGCATAAGCTCTCAACCAATAGGCCAAGGAGAGTTGTGTTTAATTATAAATGTTAAATTTTAAAAACATGTACTTATTAAACTTAATAGCAAATTTTGTATTATGACTTTATGAACACTACTATTTATACAATTATAAAGCTTAATAGTAAATTTTATATGTTGATCAATGTTGATTTTACAATAAGAATTGAAGCATAACATAACATATTATACATCTAGCAATACATGCATATATGAAACTTAATAGTAAGTTTTGTATGTCGAGCAATGTTAGTTATAAAATAACTGAATTAAAACTAAGGCTTCGCTTGAGATAGTTTTATTATTATTTTATAAAGCTGTTGTAGAAAAAAAAAAATTTAAAGCTTTTGTGAAAGCAGTTTTCTAGGATAATTTTTTTTGATAGTAAGAAAAAACAGCGACCAAACAAAAGTTATGATTACTGTCTTAAAAACAAAGCAAGAAGAAAGCTATCCCAAACAAAAACTCAATGTAAAACATTTTGCATTTGTGAATAAAAGGATGAGCTCATATATTTACTTGCTCAATCATGCAAACGATTCTACACTCCCAAGAAGCTACTCAATTATAACTCTGATCCCTATTTGAATCCTCTTCATTCTCAAGATCTTCATTCTCTTTATCCTTCATATTCAAGGATAATATTTTGTCTAGTAAGTATTTTCTTTTTGGAATTGAAATATGAATATTAAATAACATTTCCTTTTTAGGTTAAACAACAACTTCAAGCCTTTATCCCACTACGTGGGGTTGGCTACATAAATCCTTTTTTTTTCCATTGTGTCCTATTAAAAGTCAGATTCTCGTTTAAATATAATATAGAAAGGTAATTCATAATATTTTCCAACCAAGTCTTTTTAGATCTGCCTCTACCTTTCTTAACATAAGTCAAATCTAATACCTCTACTCTCCTAACCGGGTCATCGGAAGACCATCGTTTTATGTGACCAAGCCATCTAAGGCGACTCTCTCTAATCTTATCTTCTATTGGAGCTACTCCAACCTTTTCATGTATATGCTCATTTTGTATCATATCTCTAAGGGTAAAGCTACTCATCCACCTGAGCATCCTCATTTCTGCCACACTTAACTTACTATTATGCTTCTCTTTTAATGGCCAATATTCGGCACCATAAAGCATTGCAGGCCTCACTACCATTTTATAGAATTTTCTCTTAAGTTTGAGGGGCGCTTTTTTATCACACAACAAGCTCGATGCATTTCTCCACTTCAACCATCCAACTTGAATTCTGCTGATAATATCCCCATCTATTTCACCATCACTTTGAACAATAGATCCAAGATATCTAAAACATGTACTCTTATTAATGACTTGATCGCCCAAAATCACAATCCCCTCACTAGGTCTATTACTACTAAAATTACACTCCATATATTCCATTTTAGATCTACTCAAGCGAAAACCTTTAGAATCGAAGGTTGACCTCCAAAATTCAAGTTTACCTTCAACTCCCTCTATAGTCTTATCAACAAGAAGAATATCATCAGCAAAAAGCATACACCCAAGGTACATCCCTCTTGCAAATGTCTAGTGAGAACATCTCCATGACTAAAGGAAAAAGATATGAGCTTAAGGCTGATCCTTGATGTAACCCAACCGAAATAGAGAAATACTTGGTCAAACTACCTTTTGTTTGAATACAAGTAATAGCTCATGCATACATATCTTTAATGATTTGAATATAATCTTTATTAACTCCTTTCTTTGCAAGAATTCTCCATAGCACTTCTCTTGAAACTTTATCAATTGCTTTTTCCTAAATCAACATATTATCATGTAGATCCTACTTATTTTCTCTATATTTCTCCATCAGACCTCGTGATAAATGTATGGCTTCTATAGTCGACCTAGCCGGCATGATGAATCCAAATTTGATTTTGAGAAAATTAGTAACACGCTGCCAACATATGCTCCAATAACTCGCTCCAATAGTTTTAAAGTATGACACATTAACTTAAATTTCTCTATAATTCGCACAATCTTGTGCATCACCTTTATTCATAAAAATAGGAATTAACACCCTCATTCCTTTTTTTTTAGGTTAAGCTAAGCTAAAAAATTCCAATAAGGGCATCAACCTCCTCAATAATTAATGTCTTTATGTACTGATTTTCTTGATTAAAAATGGTTTGATAGTTCCCAAACAAGGTTTGCGCAAATTCCCTTATTTTTTCTTAACAAAAAAAATGTTAAACAGATAAAAGATTTTTTAAATAACTTTATGAGTCATTTGGTAGGAGGATTTATGCCGGATTTGAGCGAAATCCAGCCAATAGCCTAAAATGCAAAACCAAATCTAACAGCAAATGAAAGCTGATGCGACGAAAATTCCGCTTTTCGTGCTAATCCAGGATTTTTGAAATCATGCTTTTTGCCGGATTTTCGAAATCGTTGGCTTGATAGTCCCGCTCGTTAAATCAATTTATAAACCAAACAATCACAAGAGATTTCATAGGATTTATTATGAATTGTACAAAAGTTTTCAGGATTTTAGGCACCAGGGATTTCGAATCTGGATTTAGCGGATTTACGAAATCCTACTTTAATCAATTCCTTGGTGCTTAGGGGCTGCAAACGAACCGAGCCGAGCGGAGTATGTGAGTGTTCATGTTTGTGCTTATTTAAATATCAGCTTTGTTCTGTTTGGTTCAAAATGTTTGTTCGAGCATTAAGCATTTGTGTTCATGTTGGTTCATTTTAAATTAGTTGAGTGTTCATGTTCGGTATGTTTCAGTAATGTTGTATGTTTAGTATTTATCAAGCTTGTTTTCGCTGACATATTTAACTAATTTTTTTAACTATAACAAACACGTTCATGAATATCCTGAAACAAACAACATTTATAATAAAAGCAATTGTCTATATTAACAAAGGTAAATGAAATTATTTATATTTATTATTATTGTAAGTCAACATATTAATTATCTTTCATCGAGCTTATTCAGAGTTCAAAATGAATACACGAAATCAAGCTTTTATCGAGCTTAATGTCGAGCTTGTTCACGGAATTCAAATTGATGTTGTTCGCGAACATAATGAACGCGAACGCAGTATGTTTCAAGTTTGTTTATTTTAAGATCGAGTATTTAAAATATTGTTCAAATTTGTTTTTGTTTACTTAATTAAAACAATCTCAAACGAGCTTTAATCGACGAAACAGCGGTAGCTTCGTCGAATTGTTTTGGGCTTTCGCTTGCGAGCCCTTGTGGGCTATCAAACAGCGCCTTAGAGAGAGAGAGAGAGAGAGAGAGAGAGAGAGAGAGAGAGAGAGAGGATCATTTCGAGCTTATATGCAAAAACCCGCTACAAACTCCACTAATAAATAACACGTATACATAATGAAAAGTGAAAATACATCAGAAGTAATCTAACATACAGTTCTCTATGATAATTCAAACAATTTCACTGATCATTTCACTGGTCACTCCACTCTTAGAAACAGGTCTCCAGAACACAGCAGCAACACAGTGCAGCACAACTACAAATACAAAAAATAGCAGTCACAAGTTAGAATAAAGCTTTTTTACTAGTCTTCAAGCATTATAATAGACTTGAAAGGGCCATTAATGACCAATAAAATCTTAATAGGCTTACCATCCTTTCCAGAAACCATCGTCATCGCCGCGACTCTTGGTCTTGGCCGGAACCTGCTGAGGGTAAGCAACATCGTCATTTGTAGGGTACCCTACTGGAGGAGGTGCAGAATAGGGTGCCTGTCCTTGTGGTGGGAAAGAGGTTGGCGTTGCAGGGTAAGCTGCATCATTACAAATTGTAGCAGGAAGCAAAATAAATCAGTCTTCTTGTTATATGAAAATATTAAGGAACAGAGTAGATTCACAATACAAAATAATTATTTTTGGGATTTGAATCTTAAACAAGTGTGCCTTAGTGTAAGATTTTCTTGATTGATGGTAATTAAAATCTTCCTACTAATAAGAAACAATCAACATGTATAATGAGTTCTTCTAATCAAGTCTGTCTTACAGTGTAAAATTTTCTTGCTTGAAGGTAACTAAAATCTTCCTACTAATAAGAAAAAATCAACCATATATTATCAGTTCTTCTAACGATCACAGCCTTTAGATTCCAGTAACCATCTTAGGAGATGGCTTATAAAACGGTGGGGAAATAGAAAGATCAAGATTACTATTTTTCTTCTTAGCAAACACTTAAATAATGATCATTACTACCATTTTCTCCAACAGAAGAAGAGAAAAAGATACCAAATTAAGAAATTCACACGAAAAATACTAAATCAAATGAACTACCTTGAGGATTAGCCTGCGCATAAGAAGCCATGTTTGCTGAATGATGACAGAGGAGAAGATTGAGAGAGAAATTGAACTGTATATATGATATTGATCTGAATACAGATCCATTGTTTGCTTTAGTATTTATAGCTCTATCTGATGAAGGCTTTACTTGGTGGGAGGCTTCCTCGTCTTTGCAGCTGTGGTGAAGGCGTTCTAAGTTAGAAAACAAAGTCCAAGTTGAGGAGTAGTTTGCTAGTTGACATCAGGAAGACTAAACGGTCAAAAATGGTTTGCCAGGCCCAGGGGGGACTTTGGGATGCCTTCGGAAGCTTCTTTTTCGATTGAGAATATTTTAAATTTCTGTTTAATGACTTGTTCAAACGAATGATGTAATGGCAAGGAAAGAAATGTCCAAAGAATCCAACTAAGACCAGTCAGAATGGACAGAAAAAAATTAATAAGATATTTTCATTTAGGCTTCTTTTGGTTATTGGAAACTTTTGTAAAAGACAGTTTTAAGAAATATTGACGGAGAAACATATATAAATTTTTTTTTCAAAACAGCAGAAAAATGAAAAAAAAAAAGTTATTGGGAACATAATTTGACGAACCAAATAGTAAAGAAGAAAAAAAATTACCGCTTTAAAACAGAATAAGCACGAAAAACTTCCAATCAAACTAAGTCTTAGTATTTTGACGACTTGAACAAGGAAAGAAATGACCGGTAACGCCGTTCTGAGTCTTCTGACTGATATTAGTATTTTGGACGACTTGAGCAGCTGCCGGAGTTGACGATAAGGAAGGAAAGATTAAGATCCGAAATAACCATTTTCAAGCTAAATATAATCATTAGATCTGGGCGATTTTTTTAATTGATGTATATGGAGATTTTTTTATTGGAAAATTTAACTTTATATGCTTTATAATATACTTAAATATCAAATATTTCTATTATTTATTTATTTGGAGAAACATAGCAAAGTTTTTTTTTTTTTGATGAAATTGGCCCCAATTAGAGAAAAACTATTGTATATGATTTGAATCTAGTTTGGACCTTGGTTTAAACTTCAGCTCAAGTTATTGTTTTTGACCTAGCAGTTCATCATTCTCACCCAAGACAAAATTATTATCATGAACTACTCTTCATCTTCACATGTCATTCATGTCAATGATTGATCGTAATGAGAGCCCATCGTGCACTCCTCTTCTCAGTCACACACCACCACTCTAAGATTGTCAATATTTGGTACAACACAAAAACCTGACTCGAACGGGTTTTGTTAACCCTTTGGAAAATGGGTCAAATTCGATTCAACCCGAAAGCAACCTGAAATTGACCCGAGTGCTTAGGGCTAGGGCTAAATGACTAAATATAGGGGTTTTTTTTTTTTGAAGTTTTTAGAGGACAAAGGATAATCAGTATGATCGTCAATCAGTATGCAAACACTACAATAATTAGATCTATATATCCTTCATCAATAACAAATATCATAATGTTGTTAATCAATGCTTGATATAGCGTATACATACCCTATAAATAGGAGAAATTATTACGTGCGTTCACCAGACTGTTCGGAGGAGAATCAGGATGAACCACAATATGAGGGATAATGGATGTAATTCATTATTGGAAGAAGTATATCGTTTTTGTAATGTTTTTGAAGTTGATGTTCATGTTATGAGTTCTACATTCATAGCTCGCCGACGATCAACATGCAGAAATGACGACGTGACAAATTTACATCATTATAGTACTGTGGAATTATTTTACACTATTATTGATATGCAACTTCAAGAGCTGAATAATAGATTCTCTGAAGCTAGTACTGAATTGCTTCTTTGCATATCGTGTCTAAATCCAAGTAACTCATTCTCTGCTTATAGTAAGAAGAAATTAATTCGTCTTGCAGAACTATATTCAACTAATTTTTCTATAGTTGAACTTGTGGCTTTAGAGCAGCATATATCGACATACATTCTTGATATGCGTACAAGCGAGGAGTTCTCATCTTTGGAGAGCATTGTTGATCTTGCAAAATAAATTGTTAAGGTTAAAAAAGATATCGTGTACCCCTTAATTCACAGACTTCTTATTTTAACATTAACTATGCCCGTTGTCACCGCTAGAGTGGAGAGAGCATTTTCAGCAATGAAATTGTTAAACATAGATTATGCAGTAAAATGGGTGATGATTGGCTCAACGACTGTCTAGTATCATATATTGAGAAAGAATTATTTGATTTGGTTTCAAATGAAGTTGTAATGCAATATTATCAGAAGATGCAAAATATAATACAAAGCTTGTAATTTTTATTGTAATATAATGATTTGTTTGAATTTTGTTATAAATATATTTTTTAATCTTTTTATTATTTATCCCCCCTAAGAATTAAGGCTGGACCACATCACTCTGTACATAACAAAGTAGAGATGTGGCTCATCCTAATTTGTCTTCGAACAACACCTGATAATCGCACGTAATAATTTCTCCAAAAATAGTCCTCACAAGACTTCAGAATTTACATATGCTACATTCATTTTATGTCATTACATAGCATTTTGTATCAATAAAATTAAAAAAGTAACAGTTCATGATTAAGATTTTATAAAATATGGAAGTAAAGAACTTTCAGCACCAGGTCTATAGATCATAAGCCACTGTTTATCATACAAGGAGAGGCATAAGCTTGTCAGAGAATAGTCAGCTTATAATAAAATAAGGTGGTGCAATGTACAAAAAGATGAGCATTAAAGAACCAATTTTGACTTTGCAAATGGGACTGACATGACAGATTGTGTTAGTGGAACACTGTGGTTATAATAAATAAGTTTTAAATTGGCAATGTAGAAGTGCTTGCTAGAGTGGCCCAAGGCTTTGGAACAATTATTACGTCTTCCGATCAGATGTAGAGGAACGTTCGGTCAGAGGCAAATTCTCGCCAAAAAACGAGTTGTACCGAGCAAATGCCGAGCAATACCAAACAATAACGAAGAATACCATCATTTGAAGACCCACAAAAATCTGGTTAAGTTGTTATCAAAATGAACTCTTATGTGTAACTAGTAAAACCCAACATTTTGATAACTTGTAGGCTAAGATGCTATTGAAAATTTAATTTAAATTTCTCCCAAAATGATCCATTTTCAGCCCACTTACTGCTAATCACGATATATATAACAAAACTTAAAACAAATTCTTATATTTTATTATAATTGTTAAATAAAAAATTATAAGTTTTGCATTATATTTTGTATTTTTTATAATTTTGTATTTTCTGATATTGTTGTGTTACAATTTCATTTGGACTCAAGTCAAATATTTATTTCTCAACATATGACACTAGATAATCACTGTGCCAGTCATCACCCATTTTACTACATGATTGATATTTAACCATTTTCATTATAGAAAATACTCTCTTCGTTGTACCAGTGGCAACTGATAAAATTAATACTAAAACAGTAAATATGCAAACTAAGTGATACATATCATCTTTTTTAACCTTAATAAATTATTTTGTAAGATCAACAATGCTAACTAAAGATGAGAACTCATTGCGTGTATACATATTAAGAATGTATGTGGATAGTTATTGCTCTAGAGCCACAAGTTAAAGAATAAAAAAATTTGTTAAATATAGCTCTACATGCTGAATTAATTTCCCTTATTATAAGCAAAAAAATGAATTACTTTGACTTAAACATGAAACACAAAGAAGCAACTTAGCACTAACTTCATAGAATATATTATTTAAATCTTGAAGTTACATATCAATAATAGTGTAAAAAAATTTACATAATAATAATGCAAGTTTGTTATTTCTTCATTTCTGCGTATTGATCGCCCGCAACTCTTAAACGTAGAATTAATACTACGAACATCAATTTTAAAAACTTTGCAAACACATGATACTTCATTCAATAAAGAGTCTCATTCATTCTCCTTCATCATCTGTAATTGTTATTTGGAGACTTGAGTTAATTTTATTGCTTTCAAGTTATCTTCATCTTTTCTCTGCAAAGCTTATGATAATTCATTTGTAACATCTAAAATATAAGAATATAATCAAAATATTTCATAGCATCTTTTTGAACACCAGCTTCAACAGATTGTTCATAATGTTCCTCATCTTATTTAATAATTTAAAGCACTTCAATTACTGAAACATACATTTTTATCAAATTAATTTAGGTATGAAAATGCAAACCTCAATGGGTGACTCGTTATAAACTAGTATCTTGGTTCAACCTCAACCACAGCTCAACTCCTCTTTGGTTAGACACATTTTATATGAAACTCATGCAGTATTGATAATTCTTCAAGTGCTCTCGAAAAGATGTTTATCATGCCAATAATTTTTTGCAACAAGCACTAAGCACAGTTGAAGCTAATGAGTAGAGAAATTAATATAGAATGCATGAGGGTTATCATTTAGTATCAATTCATTTAAACCATAAAACTCCCATCACATATTAGATGCCCCATTGTATCCTTGGCTATATATCCTATATTTGCTCAACAAGTGGTTCACATGTATATTTTAAATGATAGCCTTTAGCGTAACTGGATTAATTGATGCAAACATGTTTAATTCTTATAAATCTTTAAATAACTTGACTCAACTTATCTACATATCTCACCGTCGTAGCTAACTATTTCTTTGTAGAAATAACACAAGATTCATCAACTATAATTGATAAGTAAGAGTCATTAATATATTTCATGATAGAAATTAAGATTTTAGCAAATGCAGTACAACAAATTTCTTTTTAGGCAATTGGTGGTGTTAACTTCAAATTTGAGCTCGTACATATAGATGTAACAATCTTAATTTATTCATTATGATTAGCAAGAAAATCGAATAGTTCTAAATAATTTTCTCGATTATCTAATTTGGGTGACTCATCATGCCAACGGAATGATAAACCTTAACGTAAGAGAAATCAAACACAATTCACTACTGCAATCAAGTAATCAACATAATTATATATATATATATATTTTGTTTTTCTCATTTTTGCCCAATCATAAGCAAGAAGACTATATTCTTTACTATCTAACCTTATTATGTAAATTGATATGCTCTTTAACATAACTTAACATTTTTTATTTGTTCTTTCAATTTCCGAACTCTTCCTTAATAAATGAGTCTCACCACATTGGCCTTTAATAATTTTTTTTGAGACTTGAATATGTAGCTGTAAAGAGAGAGAGAGAAAAAAAAAACAGCGACTTTTTGCACACTCAACTCTAAAAAATAATATATTCATCAAATTATTTTAGATTAAATTTGCTTATAATATTTTCAAACCATATTTTCAACCGAAAAGTCATCAATTTCTCCAAATATTATTTGAAAATATTGCATGCAGATTTAACCCAAACTGATTTGATGAATATGCTAAATGTTAGAGTAAAACATGCAAAAATACATTGTGTTTTGTCTATTGTTACACATAGTTCATTCAATAAATATCCCACTAAATCATATATATTTCGATCCGATTCAACTTAATGTGATTTGATTTTGAGTTAGCTCAAAAATGAAAATTTAGGTTTCATTTGTGAGAGCTTTCTTACTGTTTTTTAAATCCGTTGTCTAATACAATATTTCTAGTTAAAAAATTTTGTACCAAAAATTATTTTAGCAATCAATAAAAAAATTGTCCCAAATAAAATTTTAAAATCATTGAAGATTTCAGAATTGTTACATTTTTCAAATATATATACATATTAATAAATTTTTTCATCTCAAATTATTTTTTGAGTGAACGCCCGAAGTTCAAAATCAACTTAAAATTCAATTTAGTTTAAAAATTAGTTTTTGACAGAAAATATTTAGAATTTGACTTAAAACTTGAACTCATATTGTGTTCAAAATAAAACCAGGACTTCGTAAAGTTGGACCCCACTTCCAGCCAATTCTCTGGAGCCGAGCAGGAGTGCGCGCAAAATAGCCGAGAAAACTTCAAATGTAGCAGAGGCCCAGTTCGGGGTTTAATATGCGCTATGAACCCTGTACCAATCTTCAGATTTTTTGAAACGGGAAGGTTATCAAAGAGCGGACTGAAGTTTATTTTGAAGCCCTCGGCAACGCTTTGTGGCTCCTCAACCATTCTTTCCCCTCCCACCGGCTTCCCTCTGATAGCCGTGCAAATTCCAGCGATCTTTACCCATCAGGCGACAAGAATTTCTGCGAAAGTTTAGGTTTTTACGCCGGCCGGTCACTTCCTTGGCACCGTAAAAGAGAGTGTGGTTATGCACTGAGCAGCAGTGGAGGGATGGTGATGACATCGGAGCAGTCTACGAGCCTGAAGATGGCGCAGCTTCGACTGGCCTGCGAGAAGGAAATACGAGCCTGCTGTGAGAGATCTGGACTTCTGGCGACTTCCATCCGGGAGTCGATCAAGTCCATCAAGCCATTAGTTGAAAATGCTGAAACTAATCGAGGTCAGATTTTTTTTTTTTTTTGGATTGAAAAAGCTTATTTGTTCAAATCGTGCGGTTTGAACGTCTTTCATCGCTCTTTCTCTCATCCATTTAGTTGGATGCCTCATGATTCTTTCAAAATGATTCGTTTTTTTTATGCCAATCAGAACAGTTTTTAGCTTTTTGTTGCTGGTAAATCTATGAAAGTCGGCATTAATAAATGAACTCTCTTTTTGTATGTCACAGCGGATTGAGCAAGAAGATTTAGATCATGATGTGTGGTGCAAGTTATAAACTACGGAGCTTGATATAGCTAAAATGATTTCGCTATTGCTTGTTATTTATTACAAATGATGCCCTTCCCTGAGGAAGGTAATATAACATATGACTTAGTTGAAGTTGGAACAGCCTTGTGGCATATGAGCTATCATTAAGAGATTGTTTGCTTGTTTGTTTTGTCATACTCTCTTAAGAATAGGAGACTAGAAACCAAAAAGTCTAGCATAAATTTCAGTGCTGATATCAAGAGTAAAAGTTGGTGTTGATGGCTTGTATCGATCATATAAATAATGACATGCTTTGATGTTTTTAGTGGTGATAGGTGATGAGGTCAGCGGGTGTCAATGTATTCTAACAACAAATGTCAGAATATCATGTAAAAGATGAGTGCAGTTTGGCGACAGTAGTCAGAGGACAATAGTCGGATAGTGATGGTCGGAGGATTGTAGTTGGGCGGTGGTGATCGGGAGGACCGTAGTTGGGCGGCGATGATCGGAAGCATCACAAATTCGCAGTCTAGCGACGGAGGTTGGAATGATTGTAGTTGGGGGATGACTTCAGATCACTGTTGTCGTATGATAGTGCTTGGAAGTACCGTAGTCAGGTGATGGTGGTTTGAAAGGCCGTAGTTGGGCCATGTTGGTCGGAAGGACCGTAGTTGGGTGACAGTGGTTAAAAGAATTATAGTAGGGTGGTGGTGGTCGGAGGTCTGTCGTAGGGCGATGATGGTTGAAGGTCCGTCGTAGGGTGATGATGATCTGAAGGACCGTGGTCGGACGACGATGTTAAGAAGGATTGTGGTTGAACGAAGGTGGTTCGAAGGACCGTAGCCAGACAACGACGATTAGAGGATTGTAGTCGGGTGATGAACGTCTAATGACCGTGATGCGATGATACAATTGGGGGGTGATCCGACTGTGGGGGTTTGACAGTTACCGATGGAGGCATTGGGTGGTTGTCTGATGGCGTTTGTCAGTAAGTGGTTCAACGAAGACGGTTGAACAGTGGTCTGGTGGTTGTGCTTGTGGGGTGCTCCAGGATTCATAGAGCCTTAGCGCTCTCTCTTTCTTGCTTCTCAAGCCAAAATCAAATCTCCAAGTCTAAGCCCCCCAACCACCCTCTTATATAGGAAGCGGGGGCCTATTTATAGATTTTTGAAAGTGACATTCCTGGTGCCAAAATCCAGAACACTCCATCAGATGGCTTGTATTGATCCCTTAGAACATGGATTGTTTCTTTAGTATCTAAGAGCCTTGAGTGATCTTGGGCTTGTTGGATTCGTCTTGTCGAGACACTTGATTTGATCATAAACATGCCAAATTTAGAGATTATTTAGCCAAATTTAGAGATTATTCGGCGATCCAATTAATATGTTTTGAATTTTTAATTATGCTTCAAGTGCTCGATCTGGGTTCATTCAGGCTTGAATTGGATCGTGATGTCAAGATGTTCAGTTCGATTATAACCTTGTTGAAATCAAAGTTTGGCTGATCCTGAATTTAATTTAGGAAGTTTCCATTCCAAATATGCATCAAGGTTCATGCCCAATCAAGATGATTTTTGATGACGTATCACTTTTGTTTGAAGGTGAACTTGCATGAAGTGTTATGCCTACATATTGCGGGTCTATGTTAAGAATGAAAGCACAATAATAAAAGAGAAATCACAAGATCACTGAAGACTCATGAATCTTATGTGGTTTGGAGATAATACTTTTACATTGAGTACCACACCAGTTTCACCATATTCCTTAGATTATAATTATAGGTTATTATGCCATTTAAATGGAATGATAGAATGGCCTTCGAAAGATAGAAATTCTTATATTATCCTCATCTTCTTTGTGATCGCTAACTTGTTTAGCATGTTTGTTGGATCCTCTGCATCTTTGATTTTGTTCAATATCAAGTTTCCATTAGCCAACAATTTATGAATAAAATGATACACTGAATATGCTCCTTTCTTCAAGAAAGGCATGTTAATGTGTAATTCAAGGCTATGATGCTATGATCTATTGCAAAACACACTTATATATGCACTAACGCCAAAAATTGGTTTTAGTCAATCATGTTGGCACTAGCATTTTGTTTATTTATTTATTTTATTTCAAAAAACTATTTTGACAAATATTTGTTATGATTTTTTAAGTTTATTTTTGAAGGCAATGGCTTCTATTTAGCTTTAAAATGTAATCCGCTTAGACATGGCACTCATGCTCTAGCTTTAGTAAATGTCAATAGATTCCTAAGAAGTCATGTGTTTGTTATAAAAAATGTGTAATTTAAACTTATCGGGCTTATGATCATCCGTATAACATAAACACATGAAGACATGCATGTTGATCTTGAAATTGAGGCCAATGTTAAATCATAGAACTTTTATTTGCTTTTTCTTCCCCATGACTATGATCTTTTGAATTTCAGGACGCATGTCATGTTAATATAATAACATGTCATGTTCGGTTGCCATGATATTTTCTTATTTTTATGAGAATGCGAGCACACACATTGGATTTGCAGCGTTTTATTTTAAATAAGTTTTTTCTTTATCTTAACTTTGTGTTTTCATTTGATGCTTTTATTTGACTACTGACATGTCCCGACATTGCAGGAAAACTTGCTATGCTTAAAGATTACCTAAAGGAAATGGAGTCCACTTTTCGTGAAGCTCTGAAAGGTATTGTTATATCTGAAAACTTGTTATTTGTAGATATATAGCTTTTAATTTTCTTAAATCAGCGAATTCACTAATGGTCATGGCTTTCGGAAAGTTTTGTATTTTGAGCACCAATAGAATTAGTGACACTAGCTGAACAAATTTATTACAGAAATGCATGCATATACACATGCTATGCATGCTCATATTATAATATTATATAAATATTCAAAAACATTTAAAACAATAATTATTATAAAATTTTTGATATATATTATATGCTTGTATTTAAAATAATAATTATTATAAAAAATTGATTTACATTATATGATTGCAAACCTATATACCAGTACACAGGCAGACGTATTGACGTACATGCACATAGACCCACATACTCAAAGATACACATAGAAAAGACATACATCCACATAAACACTTTCTTGCACGGACATACAAATACACATGAAAACATACATACACATACATTTACAAAGTAGATTATATGCCACAAAGTTCTGACCAATTATTGAGCAACTTTGGAGCTTAATTAATAGTCAAGGGTTGCATTATTTCTTCCCTTCCAAACTATCAACCCATCATTCTCCTAAAAAAATTATTAGCTAACTTAATATCATTCTTTGGTTAAGTTAACTTAAATTATTAGCTAACTTAGAAGAAATGATTTTCTTCTTTTGGAAGTTATGGTTTATGTCGGTCTGAGTCCGATTTTCTTTCATTTTTGTCCTACCTTTTCTTAGTTTGCTTTGCCACTAATGTTTTTATTATTATTAAATTTTATCATTAATTGTAATTCCATTGATGTGGCCTTTTTTGCGGTCTTGTGCTGTATCTTTCTATCTTAATGGAATTTTTTGTTAAAAAAAAAAAAAAACTTATTTTCATGTTTGGGCTGATATCATTTTGTTAATTTTTATTTCTTCTCCCATTTCTGGTGCCCAATAATCAATTTAAACTGCTAAATTTTCTTTGGTTTCCCTGTTTTTATCCCCAAGAATCATATACTCATTTAAAGTAAAGCATTCTGAGTACTTAAAAAAAATTATCTGCACCTAGGTGAAGTACGTTAGAGACAAAGGAAAGCTGTCAAGAACTTTTTCACTGCCACGCCAACTAGCTCCCCTACTTGGAGTTACTAACTTAAGAAGATACACAACCGCGACATGTCAGGGAACCAAGTGCTCTCATCTGATCAAAAAATTGTTTTCTTTTTTCCCAAATTGATATGCAGGTTGATCACCTCTAACAATGCAATGGATAAATCTAGTTAATATGCAAATTTTATTGTCTTTCGTTTTCCAAGAATAATGCTGTTCTTAGGTGTTGGATAGCCATTAATAATTCCTGCTCCTAGAAAGGCATTATATTTCTTTGTTTTAACGGAGTTAATGTTGTAACTATTCTTTGATAGCCTTCTTTTTATATGCCATATATCCTCTTCAGCGTGATTGCTCACTAGATCATAAATTTCTTTTATTTGTTTTCTTAGTATTTTTCCCCACTTCCGTGCATAACATTCAGAGCTCCCTGACTTGGACATAAGTAATTATGATATTTTATTTCTCTATCGTTGTAGCAAATGCTTCCAAAGAAGCCAAACATGCATCTATGTCTGAAGCTATCTCAACCATGGCAGTAAGAATTGAGTATCTGAAGGAAACAATTGATAATCAGAGGGCAAAAAAGGATGAGTATGAAGCAGTTCTATCACAACAGTTACTTGGTAAATGTTACTGCTTAACTAGTTTTATTTCCCATCTTAAATTGAAAATCACAACTTCTTGTGCTGGTTGGCTTCACTTGCTTGAGGTAAGATTAGCTTTAACCGTAATATGATTTTCGATTAAGTTAATGGTTATTGCTCTTTTTGAGCTGAGTTTTCAAAAACCAACTTTTAATGCAACAAACAATGCATTGTGCAAGGCATATATATACTGAGATTCATATCGTCGATAATTAGCAAATGCTGCATTCTTTACATGACTGATAGTCCATGACATTGGCATGGCCACATTGAGATATGATTTTGACTTAAAGTTTTGACATCATGCCGAAGTTGAATACATTTGTGCAGGATAAAATAATGTAATTAGATGCAAACCAATGACAGTGAGCTATTTGAGTCCTAGTGAAGGTATTATGATTTAGCAGGAACTTTGAAAGATGCTCTTTGCAAGTTTTAATTCTAGTTTTAGTCCTAAGTGTATGCTGGCTTGAAGAATCAGCTTTCTTTCACCATATATATGAATGATTTGTATGTGAGAATCACTAAGTACTAACCAATTCTTTCAGACTCAAGTTTTTGCTGGTAGAAATTCTAGCAGCTTGTATGAGAATCTCATTGATGCAGAACGAAGTGGCAAGCTTGAGTTGCCGCCGAAAGGAAGAGAACGCTTATGGTCTTGATCCATGGAAAGTTAGACAGAGGGGAATATGCGGGTGGACGCTCGATTAGTTGCCAATGTCTAGAGGGGAGATGCTCTTCGATAGAAGTTGCCAAGGTGAAGAGGATGTGGTCGATGTATCATTCGACGGTGTCGTCAACTTCTATATTGAGATCTAAGAATGGAGATTGTAGAATGTCCACCAAGCCTTGAGAGTCGTAGACGAATCCGTGGTCAAGCTCGTTCCGTCATCTAGATGTAGAAAGAGTCGTGGCTGGAAGGAGTATGATTTTCCTATTTTTAAGAGAGCAATCTCAAAAGAATTAAGTGATTTGAGAGAGGTGGGGAAAAGGGCCGGCCAAGGGGAAAGAAGAACCACCTCTTGAAAGTAGGGTTTATGGTTGAGAGGGAGAGGCAACTTGAAATTTGAATTTAATGTTTGGATTTTAATTTGGAGGGGTTTGGAATTTGAAATTTAAATTTAACTCCAATGGGGAAGGGAATTAATGGAGGGCCGACTAAGCTAGGATGGTTGAGGAAGAGTTCTGGTTTTGGAGGGGAGGGTTGATGGATGATTTGAATTTTGAATCCCTAAGTTAACTTTAGTGAGAGGGAAATAGGGATTAAGAGTTTCCTAAAATATGTTCCCTCCTTTGGAAACAATTCAAGGAAATAAGAGAGAGAGGGGCGGCGGAAGGTAGAGAGGGGGGGGGGGGTTGAGGGGTTAGGCTGATGGCATTAAGAGGGAGAGAGGGATTAGGTCAGGGAATTTATGGCTTGCCTAACCAAGGCCCTTTAATTAAGGAGAAGAAATTAAATTAAATCAAATTTGAATTTAATTGGACCTAATTTAATCAACTTTCCTAACATAGGAATCCTAATTTAGGAAACAAATCCAAATTCAAATTAATTTGAATTTTGAATTCAAATTTTGTTACTAAATTAAGAGAGCTAGAATAGGAAAGACTTTGAATGCATGACTTGATTGATGGGGATTAATTGCGATTTGATTGGGTAGCTTTAGTGGAAAGAATTCATTAAGAGAGAGGAGAAGGGGGTCGGCCAAAGAGGGGAGGAGAGAGGGTGTCTAGGTTCAATGAATGTGGGGAATTGAATTAAATCTGAATTGATTTTAGATTTGAATAGATTGGATTGGTTTCCTAAGATGGAGTAAGTTATTTAAGGAAATAATTTGAAATTCAAAATTATTTGAAATTTGAATTAAAAAATCTTCCTAAATAAATACCGTTATTTTAGGAAAGTAATAAACCTAAGATGTGGGGAAGGGGTGGCCGGTTGTGCTTGGGAGTGGTGGTGGGGTTCTCGGTTGGGGTGATGGAGGGGTTGTGAAATTTGGCGGTTCAAGGGGGAGGAAGGGGCCGGTGGTGGTGGAAGGAGGAGATGGGGTGGTCGGCTAGGAGGTGGTGGTGGAGTGGCCCACGGTTGGAGGAGGGGAAGAGGGAAGCTTGGCCGGCGGCTATGGAGGGGGTTTTGGTCTACGGTCAAGGGAGGAGGGTGTAGAGCGGTGGCTAGAAGAAAGAAGAAGGGGAATTAGAGAAGGAGAAAGGAAGTGTAGGGAAAGAAAGATAAACCATGAGCCCGGGCACATCCTGCGGCTGATGGGTGTTGCTCTGCCCTCACCTAGGGACTTCGAACCATGAGCTGGACACATACTGCGGCTGGTGGATATTACGCTTCCCTCACATAGGGATATCAACAAAGTTATTCCCGAAGAACAAGAGTGCAGAAATTTTTTTATTAATAATTCATCATATCAATACAATCATAAGGGCCTCTATATATAGGCCTCAAAATGAAAGAAACTCAAAAAAGATAAACATGACCCTAGGGCTTACAAAGGATAACTCCCTCAAGAGAGGGTAAAACGGAAAATGCATAAATTAAAAAAAAAAGTAAATTAAGATAAAGCGGAATGATCTCGGCCGTTGATCTTCATCTCTTCCTCAGATAAGCGTACACCGTCGGATGTCTGCATCACTCATATATCACCTTAGACATGGATTTAAAAGTCATGCCATGTTTAGAATACTTTTTGGTTCTATGTTTTGAGATAACAGAAACATGAAGAACATGTTTTGACTGAACTCGTTATCTGCTTTCAAAATAAATGGGCTTGCTTACTGAAATGCAGTAAAGACCCCTTCACCCCGTAGGGCTCATTTGTCTGCTTGAAGTTAGGAAACGTGTTTTGCAAAACGGTAAATTTACTAGATTCCATTACTTGTTTGTATGTAGTTAGATATCAATATGTATTTTGTAACTATGCACCCAACTATCAAAATCTCTGAAAAATATGATTTATTTTTGCACTCCAAATGAGTTAAAAAACATAATCATCATTGTCTACGATGTGTTTTTTACCTAAAAGCAATGAAATGAGCCAAATTGTTCACTTTTTTGAAAACCATATTTTTGTAAACTAATTTACATTGACTTTAACCATCACAACTTAATAATATCTATAAACATAATAATATTAGTTTCTTTTCTATTATTAGTAAATGTTATTATAAAGTACATAATTGATAAGAGGATTAAATTAATCCATTAAATAAACATGTGATATTATTTAGATCAGCAACGCGCCTAATTAATTTTTTATTTTCAATGATAAATTATGTTCAATATAATTTCTAAGTAGTAATACTTCAAAACGATAATGCAACTAGCGATGTGGTATTTTAATATGATTTTTATACCATATTAAATGTAAATAAAACAGTTTTGTATATATATATTTTTTGCATCAGTTAGTGGCTTATAAATTATTCTATTATTGCTATTGAATTGCATGATAAATTTAATAAAATATTTTTTCATTTTGGTGATAACGTCAATTAGTTTCTTTTATTTTAAAGTTCTTTTTATGTTTTAGGCAAATTTATTGTAATTTTAATATTATTTAATTGAAAATAATATAAAATTAGCTATGATTATTAGAGACATTGCTTATTAAGTTGTATTATGTTCTAAAGTACTATTTCTCGTATAAAGAAATTCATTAGTATATTAACTCATGAAGATAAATGACTTTGTTATTGATGTGGAATAAAAATGGCTCTATTCTTTTTAAAAAAGACAAATCGAATAAAAAAAAAATGAAACAAACCTAAACATGGCATTAGTATTTGTTGTTCTTAGTTTTCCTTCTCTATTTAAGTTTAGTAGAGAATTTTTGGTATAGTCTAAGATTCTGTATTTAATACTCAGCTTTACAAAAAATTGAAGAGAAGAATGAAGGAGATGTAATTGAAATAAAAAAGCTGAAGGAAGCAACCGACTGGTACAGAAGTGTTCTTGGATTTCAAACTGAAGGAGGGGAAGGTAATCATTGTCATGATTTCATGTGTTATTATTTTGTTTAGATAATTATTGAACTGAGTATTCTCTCTCTCTCTCTCTCTCCCTGTTTTCAGGAGTTAAATTTATTTTTAACAAAATTGACCGAAATGATCAGGATAAGGAGTATTGGTTTGTTGTAAGGCTTGATGGTGATATATACACTTGTAAGTATAATATTCATAATTTTATACATAATGCTTCGGTTCAACCATTACTCTCTGTTAGTTTGATGCATTCAATTTGTTTGATGATAGTGCTGCATTGCAATCCAGAACTACATGATATTGATGATTTGATCGAGGAATTGAATAGAACCAATCGTTTATTCAAGTTTGTTAGAGTTATGAGAGAAAAATTTCAGGAAATTTCATGCAAAGGTAAACTTCAAATAGCCTATACACTGTCAGAGAGCATTATTCTAGCATAATATTACTTGTTTTACTTTTATGGATTTTTTAAATTATGTAAGTTTGAAGTACTTTTAGTAGGTAGAAATCTTTTGCAAGATCATGTTTGATGCAGGATGTCACTGGGTTTAGGGTTCCTAGTGCCAATCTATGATAAAATGCACAGTCATGCAATTACAAACTTTGCAGATTACATACCTTTAATGTGTACAACTATTCATTTCCTTAGAAAAAAAAATATTAATAAATTCAGCTTATATGATAATTATCAGAAATAACACAGGCACACGGAAGCACAAAATCCTTACATTTGATTGGAAATCATGTCACAGCTCTAAATTAAATTGTATTAAATTTGAAAAGATTCGATTACACATGAAAACTAATGACAAGAATTTAATAATAGAAATAAGAGAAGGTAAGGTATCGCCAAACAGTAGAACCGAACCTCAAATTTATGTAAGGAGACCAGTTATACTAATTAATTACTTGTCTAATTAAATCATCCAACAACACCTCCACCTTCTCCGCCCAAATAATCCAGCATACTACCTTTCTACACGATAGCATCTTTTATCTTCTTTGGCCGAACTCCACATTATCTCTCACTGGAGCAAAAATTGAAATATCTCTTTACCCCTTATCTCATCTCCTCCATAGCCACTGTTCGTCCCCTCCTTTTGCTGCAAGTTCAAGAAAAATATATTTTTTGGCATATAATAGACGCCGCTAGCATAACACCGCACAACTTCTGATGAGGATATCAACAGGAGATTCCGGCGTGTCTATCACCGGAGGAATCGTAGATCGACGGCTATGATTAGGAATCTTTATTTATGATGCATTTTATATATTACTTTTGTTTATTTTTAGTCTTGATCATTGTACTCCTATGAGGGATTAGTTTGTGTTGTAGCCCAAAGGGCATTTAAGTCTTTGTGTCTTTTGTTGCTTTGAGTAGGGGTGTCAATATTTGACCCGACCCGAAAACCCGACCTAAACCCGAACCTGAAATGGGTCGGGTTCGGGTTCGGCATTTCAACCCGTTTCAAAAATCGGGTCGGGTTAACCCTTTGACCCGAAATTGACCCGAAAGTGACCCGATTTTGACCCGACAACCTGAGATTGACCCGATTTTGACCCGTTTTTGACCCGAAAAGAGGAGATTGACCCCAAAAGCAACTCCCGCCAGTCGCAGGAAGTGTCCGGGCTCTCAGTTTTCCCTTCCCCTACCTTTCCTCACTCTTTTTCTTCTTTCCAAGCTGCCGGCCTCCTCCCCCTTTCACCCCGAACTGCCGGCCACCACCTCCTCCTTCCACACCACCGGCCACCCCCCTCTTCCTACTCAAACCGCCGGCCCTAGCCCACCTGCCAACCTACCTCCCATCTAACGCAATATCCTCCCCTTCTAAAAGTCGCCGATCACCCTATCCCCCAAACTCTAGCCGCCAGCCTAAAACCCCCCAATCCCCTTGATTTTGATTTCAAATTGCCCCTTTAATACTTTCCTAATTTTGCACATTATTAATTTGGAAGATCTCTTTATTCGAATTCAAATGAATTTGAATTTTAAAACTTTCCTAATTAATATAAACATATTTTAGGAAGTTCCCCCTAATTACTACAAACCTGAAATTAAATTAGATTTGATTTCCAATTCCATTTTCCACAAGTGGCCACATACATTGTATGTGGACACCTTTCCCTCCCCTTCTTTGGCCGGCCCCCTCTCTCCTCCTTTCTTGTTTATTTCCTTCCCCAATTGTAACTTCAATTAAGGAGATAATTGCCACCCCTTTCCTCCTTTCCCTCTTTCATTAGAAATTCAAATATCAAATTCTCCCATTCAACTTCAACTTAAATCTGAAATTAAAATTTTTATTTTTAATTTATCTTCCCTCTCTAACACAATCCTAAAATATGAAATTAAAGATAGCCCTTCTCCTAGCCTTGGCCGACCACCCAATCCCCTCTGATGTAGTAGTAAGTGGCAAACTAGAGGTTCTGCCAAGAGGAAAAGGTCGCCGACGGTCTTGATCCATGGAAAGCAAGTCGGAGGAGGAGGTGCGGGTGGTTGGCTAAGTATGCGCCAATGTCCGGAGGGTAGGTGCTCTTCTATAGACGGTGCCATGGTAAAGAGGATGCAGTGGACGCATCCTTCGACGGTATCATCAACTTCTAGGTTGAGATCAAAGAACGGTGATTGTATAATGTCCGTTAAACTTTGGGGTTCATAGACAAATCCGCGGTCAAGGTCTGGGTCCGCCATGCATGAGGGAGCAATAGATTTTGGTCTTCTGGAACTTAAGGACAGCAAACTACGATCTCCATTAGGCTGGACAACAAAGAGAAGTGCAGATATGTTTTGGGCAACAACTTACAATATTTGGGAGAAGCCTTGGACGGTTTCTTTAGGCTGTTAGGAGGTTTGGACAGCAATTTGTGTCCTTCCGAATGACAGGACAGCGGGGTGAATTTGCTGGAATGCGTGGGCAGCCAGCAGGAAACACACTGGAAGAGGGGAAAACGTGGGGGAAGAAGCTTGGGAGGGGGCGACTAGGGTTGGGAAGAAATTTGAGGGTTTAGGGGAACATTTAAATTAGATAGGAGAGAGGAAGGGGTCGTCTAGGAGAGAAGGAAAAATGTTTGAATTATTTCCAATGAGAGGCTGTACTTTAGAAAGAAATTAATTAATGGGGCAAAAGGGGGGTTTGGGCCAAGACTAAGAGAGGGGATCCTTTTCCAAAATCTGAAATTAATTTTCAGATTTCAACTTGCAGGGAATTAGGATTTTAAGATTTGAAATTCAAATAAGTAGAAGAGAAGGAAAATATTTTATAGATTGGGGAATTTATTGGTGTCTTCAAAAGGAAGGTGATTTAGTGGGGGATTGAGAGAGAGGAGGGGGCCGACGACATTATGAGTGGGGAAGGCTTTGAGTATGGTTTTTAATGCTTGCCTAAATGGGATCCTTAATTGAGGCCAAAGGAATTAAATCATATCCAATTTGAATTTGATTTGGATGTGATTTAAGACACTTTCCTAAAATAGGAATCCTTAATTAGGAAATAAATTCAAATTCAAATTGATTTGAACTTTGAATTCGAAATCATTCCAAAATAGGAGGATTTCTAATAGGAAGGGTTTTGAATGCGAAGAGAAATTTATGGAGTTAGTTGAGGAAGGGTTGCCGGCGGCTATGGAGGAATTAGGGTTAGGGTTTATCGGTTTTGGCGGTTTGAAGATGGAGAGGAGATCGGCGGTTGGAAGAAGGGGAGGGTGGTAGAAAGCCGGAGGCTAGGGAAAGATTTAGCTGACGATTAAAGGAAAATAAGGAGAGATAAAAAAAAAAGATCAAACCGTGAGCCCGGACGCTTCCTGCAGCTAACGGGTAATGCGTTGCCCTTCACCAAGGGACTTCAAGCCACGAGCCCGGACCCATCCTGCGGCTGATGGAAACTATGATTCCCTCCCATGAGGATCTCACTAAAGTCATCTCCAACGAACAAGAGTGCAGAATAATATTTTTTTAATAAAACTCCATCATACTAATACAAGAGCAAGGACCTCTATATATAGGCCTTAAAAGAAACTAAAAGACAACTTTGCCCCTTAAGCTTATATAAGACAAGACCCTTAAGTAAGGTTAAAAATGAAAAATGCATAATTAAATAAAAAATACAATTAATAAACTAACATAAAAATTGAAGGATCTTGGCCGTCGATCTTCATCTCTTTCTTTGATTAACATCCACAGTCGGATGTCCACATCATTCTCCCGAGGTGGAAAAGAGCTCGACTCCGTCGAGTTCGCATCCAGGGTAACCATGCTTTGATATCAAATTGATGTAGAACGAAGGGGAGGTGATAAGAAAAAATTAATGTTTTAAAATTTCATCTTAGATTTCCCTTAATTAATGGATTTGAATTTGAAATTCATTTAAGAAAAGAAGGGAGAGAAGAGAGGAATTAATTTTCTCCTTAGTTAGGGCCGTTAATTAGGGAGGAAATAATTAGGATAGAGGAGAGAGGAGAGAGGGGCCGGCCAATGAGGGAGGGAAGAGTGTGTCTAGATTCGATGTATATTGACCCTTGCATTGAATGTGATTGGAAAAAATAAATCTGAATTTACAATTCAAAATTAGAGAAATTGGGGGGGGGGGGGGGAGTTTCAAAAATAGGGGGGGGGTAGTTCCTAAAATAGGTTAACTAATCCGAAAAAAAATTGAAATTCAAATTTAATTGAATTCAACATAAAAGACTTTCCAAATTAATCATTGACTAGATTAGGAAAATAATTATGAAGGAATTTGAATTTGGAAATCAATGGGTTGTGGAGGAGAGGACGACGACATGGTGGAGTGGACTAAGGCTTAGGGAAAGGGATTTAGAGATAGGATCTTAATTTAGGAAGAAATAATTTAAATTAAATCCAATTAGAAATTTAATTGGATATAATTTAAATAACTTTCTTCAAATAGAGAACCTAATTTGGGAAACAAATTCAAATTCAATTTTGATTTTTGAATTCAAATTTGGTGCTAAAATCGGGGAGGCTAAAGTAGGAAGGTCATAAATGAAAGAGGGAATTGAGGATCCTATGGGGAAAGGTTGGATGGGCCGACGGTTAGGGGAAAACTTGCCGGAGCTTTGGGATCCGGCGAGGAGGAGGCTAGCGGTGGACTAGGGTGGTGGGGAAGATGATGGGTGGTAGAAATCCGACGTCTATGGGAAGATTTAGCTGACGATTAAAGAAAAAGTAAGGAGAGATAAAAACAAAGAAAAAGATAAAACCATAAGTTCAGATGCTTCCTGCAATTGACGGGTGATGTGTTATCCTTCACCAAGGGACTTCAAGCCACGAGCCCAGACTTATTCTGCGGCTGGTTGAAATTATGATTCCCTCCCATTGGGATCTCACTAAAGTGCTCTCCAAAGAATAAGAGTGCAGAATAATTTTTTTTAATTAAAACTCCATCATACCAATACAAGAGCAAGGGCCTCTATATATAGGCCTTAA